GACAATTGGGTTAATTATTTCTTGTACAAGTATTAACTAACTAACGTCTGTAAAATTCTATTAAGAAATTATTGCCGGCAACAGATAGTGCCAAAGAGGTAAATCAGTCCTTCAATTGTGTCAGTGATACTCTCGTGTCTGACAGAGTATTTATTCCCAGAGGTAACTGTTATAAATTGCATTTTGCCCCTTCAGTTGCTACAAGCTTGTGATGGAGAGTGGGCGGAGAGGACAACCTGTAATTCAGGATGGCTTGGAAGTCGGTGGTTGCCTAGGAAACTAGGATTAGCAGCAGAAGGCTTACCCAAACCAACTGTCAACAAGACAGGAGCTTTCCCTTTTTTGATCTTCATTGCTCTCTAAATACACATTCTGTGCTGCCTGCGGAGCCTTATTTGGACCCCTGACCATTGCAGGCAGTTTATGCCACGCTGGGCCAAAGGTTAGACAGAGAAGCTGACATGTTTTTAATAAACTTGATGCTGATCAAATATCAGAGGGCTAGAAGACAGTAGAGATGAGCACGGTGAAGTTAAAATGAGTTTGTAAGAGTGTGAGGTGGCCAGGAAGGAAAATGAACAATTAGACAATACACATGATAAATTGGATGACTGAAAGACCATATCTAAATAGAGATACACAGATATCAGAATGATAAAATGAGCGAGATGAATATTTTACACGATGCAGCATGGTAGGTGAGTGCTGAACATAACTTATCTCTTATCTGTATCTCGATTTATAAAGACAAAATGTAATATTTTTTATTACCTGAAAGTTTTATTTGCTGCCATACTCAACTTGACATCACCTAACGCCACCACCGCCGTCCCTACCAACCACCACCATTCTCTTCTCGTAGTCTGAGCACCGCAGAAGCTTCGTGATTATCTCCAGTGACAGTAACAATGGGCTTGAGATGAGGAGGAGAGAGCATAGATATGACAGAGGGCAAGTTTCTCGTCTGTTGTTCATAGGCTCAGGGTGAGGCATAGTCAAATTGATGACATCAAACAACAACAGTCTACTTCCAAGGGCAATCGTTTCAAACTGACAAACCTCTGAAGAAAATAACGCCTCCTCTCCTGGCTGCATTCAAGTTATATACATTTTCTTCTTAATTTAGAATTTAACATGCATGTGCATACAGATAGTTATAAATTTACCTTTTTCTCACTCATCACCGTTGATTCAGAACACATTCAGTTGCTTCTGCAACAGGTTTCCTAAACTGTAAATCACACAAAAAGGGATTTCCCATTTTTCTCTCTCAGAGTCCCTGATGGATGCCAGCCACCAGAGAGATGTGAACTTTGGAGTCAACAGTACAACCATCGTTCCATAACCCTGTATTATATTAGCTTTATCTCATTCTCATTCCCACACAATCTATATTGACAACCTACTATATGGTTTTAATACTCAGAGGTTATAAACAAATAGAAGCATATTGATGTATTCATATTTGCACTAATGACAAAAATCATGGGGCAAAAACTTAAACGTCAAGATTGCTCTTTATATAGTCAACTATTTATTTTCCAGATGAATTAGGAACATCTGCTATAAAAGACCTCCCCAAAATGTTAAAGAGCAATGATGCTAGTTTAAGGATGAAGGTGCACCTGACCCACAGTCTTGTCAATTACTTGCTATGCATCTGAAAGTGGGACAGTGAGTGAGGATGACAGAAGAAGAATCGATGCCTTTGAGCTGGGGTGCTGGAAAAGAGTACTGAAAATTCCATGATCTGATGAAAAACCAAATCTGTCTTGTAGAAAGTGCAGCGAGGATGCTCCTTAGAGGCAAGGATGGAGAAATTTCACCTTACATACTTTAGGGATGCTCTTAGGAGGAGCTAGTCCTTGCAAAAGACGTCATGCTTGGAAAAGTGGACGATGAGTGAAAGAGAAGAGAGGACCCTCTATGAGGTGGATTTACATCCTGACAGTAAAAAATGACCTCAAGTGTGTCAGAGATGATGAGGATGGCACAGGATAGGGCAGAATTCAGATCTGTTGTTCGTAGGGTAGCTGTGAGTCATTGTCAACTCAGTGACACCTCACAACATCCACTTCCCTGAATTTTGCAGGAAAAGAGAAGGACAACATTGCGTTTCTTCTTTGCACTTATCCATAATGGATTTCAGCCTGATTTGGACACATTTTCGCACTTTTTGACATTAAATTACTTGAATTCTATTTCTCTTATAATGTGCTAAAATTACTTGAAAATGATTCAGGCTGTAAAGTATGGCAATGTGTCACACTGCTTGATTAGTAATTCTTTTCTGGTTTCCTTCTTTTGCTTCCACAGAATAACTTAATATTTAGCAATGTTAAGTGTATGAATTCACAAGAAAATACTTTAATTTTTCCTCTGCTAAAGTTAGACTCAGATTTCTAGATTTTCTTCTCCCAGAAAAACCAATTTCCCCCTTGTCCAGAGTCATTTCACTGGTTTCCATACCATGAAACAAGTTAACAATCAGACAACAGGATCATAGAAGATCTAAGAATTTATATTATAGATGCATGCATTTTGAAATATAGGGAAAACAAGAGGTCCCACTCCATCACAGAGATGATGGGCCACCTAATGACTCTCACTCTCAACCCAAGTAGACTTCTTGCTTGCTTTCTGCTGCATTGCCATTGACACATGACCTTTCCAGGTGATAATATTTGTTTCAGTACTTGTTCAGCAAACAATGGGCATGTTTTCATGATACTGGACTATCCTTGGAATTAGACTAATCCACTAAGAAGTTCTGGGTCTCTCTGGTGGCACAATTGTAAACACTTGATTGACTGCAATCAGTATGTCGATGGCTTGAACTCATCCGGCTGCTCTGCAGCTGGATTTTCTTATCTGCTCCTGAAAAGATTGCTGCTGTTGAGGTAAGATAGTATCTCATTGTTGGTTCGATTTGCATCTCTCTGATTGCTAGTGATTTTGAACATTTCATCATGCGTCTGTTAGCCATCCAAATGCCCTCCTTTGTTAAGAATCTTTTGCCAATTTTGTGATTGGGTTATCAATATTTTTTTGGTGGAGGCCCTGTAGTATTTTGTAGACTTTAACCTGTGAGTTTTTCTAAACTACCCTTGTCATATATCTCCCCCTCCCCCACCCCTTTCCAGTCTGTGGACTTTCTTTTCACCCTCCTGGAGAAGATTTCTGATGCACACAGGAATTTAGTTTTTGTAGCAAAATTTAATAACAATAAAAGTTTAGCAAACAATAAATATTGGAAAGGATACAGAGAGATTGGAACTCTTATGCGCTGCTGGTGGTATAGTAAAATGGTCCAACCATTTGGCACTTTGGTGTTTCCTCAGAAAGCTGAATATAAATTCCCACAACACCCAGCTATTCCACTCCTAGGAATATATCCTAAATGAAATCAGAATGGAGACACAAATGGATACCTGTGTTCATAACAGCATTATTCACAACAGCAAGAAAATGGAAACAGCCCAAATGCCAATCAATAGATAGATTGAGAAATTATGGTACATTCACCCAATAGCATACTATGCAACACTAAGAAAAATGATTCTGTAAAATACTATATAACATGAGAAAGTCTAAAGAGTGTAATTCTAAGTGAAATAACTCAGTCACATAAGGACAAATATTGCAAAAGACTAGTATTCTGAAAATATAGGGATAACTGAGCAAGATATGTGTAAATGTTCAAAAGGGAAGGGGAAAAAGGAAGGGAAGAGAAAAGGGGGGAATCTGGGATAACAGAGGTCATTGGGATGAAGGGATGGTGAGGGAATAGGAAAGATTCCTGGATGACCTGAAGAAAACGAGTGATAATAGACATAGTTCAATAGGTTGCAGAAGTTTTACTCTCTCATGAACATGAATCACAATCAGTCAGAAATGGGCTCTGTGGCCCCCAACAACAGCAAACCATCCTGAAAGAACTTTAGTTTGTTTAGTGATCACAGAAGAAGAAGGAAATGCAGGACTAGGTCGAGGATTTGCCTCTTCCCCCTATTCTGTCCACACTCCTACTCGTATGTACCTATTTAGCATTCAGGAACTCTTTGGTGCTCACACAAATACCTGGCACAGGACCAGTCTGATGACATTGGGCTCACCTGGAAAGGAAAGCACTTGTAATTAAGTCAAATATCAATTTTTTGGAGCTTGAGAGTTGGTGGCCTCTTTAGAGTAACTCCCAAAGTTCCATTCCCAAGAGCTGTGATTTGTTGGATAAGATTTCCTTGTATCCTTAGTAGGGGCAACGCTGGCCAAGGAAAAGGTGGGTCACTCCAGGGCTTGTATGATTGAGGACTTTTATTTACACAGAAGCTGAGTCTGCCCTTCTCCCGCCTGTCAAAAAGGTTTCAAAGCTGCCGAACCAGGAACTGTTTCAGATTACTGACTTCAGTACCTAATGACCCTTGTCCTCCCCTGCAAGAGAGAAATCTCAAAACGGACCTGGAGGTAGGCATAGTTGACTCCTGACAGATGCTTAGAGGTCATCTACGGGCTAAATCCCATGGGAAATTCTTTTAAGCTGTGGGAGAGACAAAAGGAAAAAAGACAAGATCAGTGTACAGGGAGAGTAGCTGTTTGTGGTTCACCCAGGTGTGCCCTAATGGTCAAACTCCTGCATCAGCAATTAGTAGGCAACCCTGAGCTTCTTTGCCTTTTGGGAAGTACAATTACACCAGATAGCCCAGGAAACACACCATTACACACACACACACACACACACACACACACACACACACACACACACACACACACACACACGTCCACATCTCCCCAGGAAAGGAGTTTCTGTGGGAGAGAATTGCATCAGGTGATGTTCCAAGGAGGTGGGAATTTTAGCAGACCTTCCAGACACAGCTGTAGGAGGCTTGCTATTTTCCGTCGGAGAAGACTTTTTCTCTATGAAATCCTGTGAGTAATTGTGGTGCTGCTTGGTTTGCCAACGGGGCAGAGGTAAAACAACCAAAGCTCTTATCCTGACCACCATGGAGTTTCTTGAAAGAACTTACCTTGTGAATGACAAAACCACCAAGATGTATGCCTTCACACTAGACAGGTAACAAGACAGCTCTATCTGCCTCACAACTTTTCTGTGCTTTGAATATTCCAGAAGTCCCTAGGTGCCTTGGCTTCAGAATTGGAAAATTTGCTCAGCAACCTAGAGGCATTTTGTAAAATTTCCTAAGCTATTTACTGACTTGTTGGATTCATGTCCTAAAAAATCAAGAGTTGATTTGATTTCTTAAGTATTCTGTGTGCATGCAGGAAACTATTAATGTATTTTTTATCTGTAGTTTCTCTTTGATAAAATATGCATTCTAATGTGTTTTCCTTCTCCTGCTTTAGTTATTCCCACCTGTAAACAGCAAGTAAATTCTATTATAATAAAAAAGGACTCGTTGACTATGTGACAAAATTGTGGCTGTATTGAAATAACACGAGAGTTTTGGTAATCATAAAATATCATTTTAAGTATATACAAATATAAGTATAGTTGATTTAAATGTCTCACAGAGTTTCAGGTTCTTTTAATATGTCCCACAGCCCCATTGGAATATATTAATTAATTTTGCATATTTTTAAACAATTATTGATTGAGCATTTTTGCACCAAGTCCTGAATATGTAATGCAGAAGGTTATATGTTGCATCTCAGAGCACTGACTTCTTGAAGTGTAAGGTCCTACAGGCCCTTATGGTACAGCAGAGCAGTGTCGAGTGGAGGACATCCAATGGGAATACTGAGCAAAGCCTGGAGTTCACTGTGTCTTGGGCATTTGAGAATGCTTTTGCAGAAGAAGGACATCTAGATGGGGAGTTAAAAAAGGACTAGAGTTAGAGAATCCTCTGTTGAGCACAGAATAGTTATCTGGACTATGAAATTTTCATGGTAAAACTTAAAACATGGACTAGTTTAGTGTCTGAGCGAGTGAAAGTGATTTGTTTTAAATCAGGGGCAAAGAGATGCACAATTGTTATATATAGATCAATACATAAAAATGTGAAATACATTTATGTTAGGAGCAGAATATGCAATTACTTACCCATTTACTATATGTGTAATTTTTGTTTTTGTTGGTCTCATTGAAACAATATAATATTTTAAAGAGTATTTTAACATTTTTTAATACCATCAAGTAAGAACAGAACAAAATTTTCTTGAGATGTTTGTATATTTGCTTTAGCAAATACTCTAAAACATTCATTAGCTCACATTGTAAAGATTATTGATCTTAGAAAATACTAAATGTAATCTTTCAAGATAGTAATATTAATGTGATCTTATGTTAGATTAAGCAGACATTTTGAATCATAAATTGCTAGTGCTATTGATAATATTAATAGAAATTGCCATTAAAGAAAGTATTTCCTTTCTTATGAAAATGTGCTCAGCCTTTTGGTGCAGAAATAAAGATAAGTGTTTCTAGGTATGGGTATCATTCACTTCATAGTGGGTATGGTTTTTAGGAAACAGAGCTGAAACAAACTGCCAAATGACGTTTTCTAAAAAAAAAAACCAAACCCCCAAACCAAAAACGTTAAACCTGGAAGAAATTATTTATCCAGAGGCCTCATTTTACTGTCAGGAAAGTGTAAGTTGGAGAGAATAAATGCCTTTCTTAAGGTCAGGTGCATATGGCAGCTTTGGGATCTGGGTACACGTCTCCTATTGGTTGATTGATGGCCCTTTCTTTCCCATGTCCCCACAATGACTTGTGTGATGCAGCCTTCTGGGTCCTTTGGTTCATTTATTCTTTCACTTTCTTCTCTTACTCCTTCTGACCTTCTTTCCCACGTATCATCATTAACTGCCTCTGAAAACTTGCTGGAGGGTCAGCTGTAGGTGGGTTCTGACTCAGTGGTACACAGCACCACCACAGGGTTCCCAAGACTCTAATCTTTATGAAAGTAGGTCACTAAGTTTTCTCTCCCTAAGATTGGCTGATAGTTTCTAACTGCCAATTCTTCAATTAACAATTGTGTATTTGATCACTGCACTACCACAATCCTTTATTTCATAGATAATGTTATCTATATAACAAATAACTTTTATCTACTGATATTTCCTCCTTTCTCTTCCTCTTCTTTGATTTAGAAAACCCTAGTGGCATTATGGTTAAGGTCTTGGTTCTTAACTGGAGAGTCAGAAGTTAAAACCCAATAGTTGTTCTGTGGGAACAAAGATCTGATGCTTTTCTCCAGTAAAAGGAATCACAGCCTGGGAACCCACAGGACAGTTCTATTCTGTTGTGTGGAGTCACGGAGAGGGGGACCAGTATTTGTCTGTCAGACGGCTGTATTGTGGTGGCATGCATGTTGCTGTGGTGGTGGGATCTGTGCCATTTGTATTTCAAATGCCAGCATATAAATAGGGCTAATACGTTCTGGCCATCCACTTCTGAAATAACAGGTCTGCAAACATCTTCTGGCTGACTGAAGTCACCTGAATAGTGATGGAAGATAAGCCCCTGAGGTTGAAAGGTCCTCAAAATATGACTGAGGGAAGAGCTGCCTCCTCAAAACAGCATCTATTGCAACGACCCAGATGGAGCAACATTTCCATTCAATAACAGACTTTCATTGACTGCTGTGGCAAGACTCAACGTGAAGAGAAAGAGCTGGAAACATCTACTGATAATTGGAACACAAACAAGGAAAATCAAAAGTTGTAAAAAGTGAAATGCAATGCGTATGACCAACGTCAGCGAGTTAACGTAGACCGATACTGGCCATTTTGAATCAGACAATCATATGATCCACTACAGTGGGAATGACAAATTAAAGAGGAATGATGCTGCATTAATTATCAAAAGGAGAATTTTAAAACTGAGAAACTGTGGTACATTAACACAATGGAATACTACGTAACACTCAGGAGCAATGATTTTGAAAAAAATACTATATAACATGCAAGAGGCTAGAGAGTATTATGATGAGTGAACTAACTTGGGTGCATAAGAACAAATACTATATAAGACGATTATTGTAAAAACAGAAGGATAACCAGTGAGATGTGGATGGCTAAACAAAGAGAGATGGGGAGGGGGCAGGAGGACTGAGGGTGGGGATGCGGGGAAATCACAAGATTGAAGAGTTTGGTGGGTTGAAAGAGGGAGGAGAAAAAAATTTGTTAAAAAAAGGCATTTCAAAATCTATCCTGAAGTTCAATGCTGTGAGTAATAAGATTCTAGTCACATGCATACCAAGAAAACCTATTAATATACCCCTTCTTGAAATGTATGCATTATCTATTAAAGCCAAAGATAAAGAAATTGAAGCTCAATCAACTTCTGTAGTTTGCAGTTAATCAAACATGCAAGCAACATTGATTAATAAAAATTGATGACTGGAATGCAAAAGCTGGAAATAAAGAAGGACTTGTTACTGTTAGGTGCCGTCGCGTACAACTCATTGTGACACTATGTACAAGAAATCTTAACTCTATCCTATTCTCATCTCTCTGACATATTCAATCCCATTGCTGCAGTCACTGTGTAAATTAATCTTGCTCACTGTCTTCTGCTCTTTCACCGAACTTCCACCTTTCCAATCATGATGGCCTTCTCCAAGGAATAACCCCTCCTAACAACATGCCCAAAGTATATGAGATAAAGCTTCGCTATCTTCGCCTCAAAGAGGCACCTTGGTAGTACCTTCTTTAAGGCATATCTGTTTGTTCTTTTGGCCCTCTGTGAGATATTCAGAACTCCAACACTACAGCTCAAAGGCATTAATTCTTCTTACTTGATTCTTATTCATTGTCTCGCTCTCAGACACACAGCAAGTGATTAAAAAGACCGTGGCCTGAATCAGGGGCACCTTAGTTCTCGAACAGACAAAGAGGAAATGGTACTTAGAAAATATGGCTCTAGAGGCAGAAATGAAGTTGGAAATTGAGTGGCAGAGTTTTATACAAACAATTATTTATTCATTGCACATATTTTTTTTCTCATTTCATCAGGCTAAATGAGATACCTGTAAGTGATACTTTAGAATAGCAAGAGAGTGAAAATGGATGCTGGAAGACTCTGAAGTCCACAATTCAGAATTGGAACAGTATAATTTTTACCACATATGATTAGTTAAAACAAGTCCCAAGACTTACATTCAAGGAATAGGCAAATAAACTCCTTCTCTTGACAGACATAATAGGAATGGTTGGCAACCATCTTTACATGTAAGTTAACCGCTGGGAGTACTATGACCAGGCTCTGTTGGTGCCGTAAACGATCCTAAAGCCTCTTCCCTAATCCTTTCTTACTTATCTGCATTTCACTGTTTACCATGCTTGATGTTCCTGGTATAAAAATGACACTAGTGTAAAATGAATATGCACATTTCATATGGCATAAAAATGGGGGGGTCTAGTTACTCTTTTTTTCCTAAACATATATTAAAAATATGAGAAACATAAAGGAATAAGTTATTTATTGGGAATAAGGACAAGTTACTGAAATCTCTTTGGAGTATGAAGCCTTAAAAGTGATGATGGAAGACAGTTTCAGAAGACTAGTATGACTAGATTAGTAGAATATCTTTAGCAAAACAACTGTAATTATTTAACCAGTGACACATCTACCTATCTCGTCTATCTATCTATCTATCTATCCTTTAAAGTATCCAAAAGTATCTTAAAGCTAAATAGAAAATTGAGAACTATTCATTTAATAGTCTACAAAATATCAATCAGAGTATAAACTATGGCATTTGAGTGAAAAATATACACTGACCTACTCCATGCCCTTTGAGCAGGTGTAGACAAAAAGACAGCTTTCCCCCAGCTCTCCATTGAAAGCTATGATTTCATCTTGAAAGGGACAGGCTTCTGAAATGTCTTAGCCTCCCATCTCTGTGTTGTAGAAGTTCTATGTCATGCAGACATGGCTGGAGGACTGGGACACTTTTTCCATCATTCAGTCCCCATGATTAAGGCAGACTCTTAGGATTCTGGATCACTTACAAGGCAGTATTTCTATCCCAGAAAGCGCAGATCAAGTAGACAAGGAAGTTCTGTATCTTCCCAGCCTCTCTCCTTGGGAGCAGAAAGATTACTTCC